CCTCCTCCTCCCCTCCTCCTCCTCCTCCTCCTCCTCCTCCTCCTCCTCCTCCTCCCCCCCCTCCTCCCTCCTCCTGGCTGCGAGTTTGGGACTTGTCCTCCTCCCCGTCTATCCTCCTCCCCCTCCTCCTCCTCGCCTCCTCCCTCCTCCTCTCCTCCTCCTCCTCCTCCTCCTCCTCCCACTCCTCTCCTCCTCCTCTCCTCCTCCTCCTCTCCTCCTCCTCCTCCTCCTCCTCCTCCTCCTCCTCCTCCTCCTCCTCCTCCTCCTCCTCCTTCCCCCCTTACCACCTCCAGCGTCTTCTCTTTCGCGCGTGCGCGCGACGTCGCCCCAGGGACGCCGCGCGCTGGGCCGCCGCAGATCGCGCGGGACATCACAGCATTAGCTGCCTGGCGCCGGCATCGCTGCCGCCGCCTCCAGGGGGAGGGGGGGCAGGAGAGGCGGAGGATGACCCTGGGAATGACCTGGCCGCCCAAAGATCGAATAGGGGATCGACTACAGAATGGATTTACCCCGACATTGATTTGTCGGTCGAATCTTCGAACATTGCGTAGAATGCTCCCTAGATCTACAGAACAGTCTGCGCATTTCGAGCAATCAATTCCAGGGCAAGTCCGCCGACCCCTTGGGTTTCCATCGGCGTGTGAGATGCTTCCCCTCCCCCGGGAGCCGGATCCGGTCGATTTGGGAGAGGGGGGGGGTCTATCCGGGCCGGCCCAGGGGGCACTTTGCTACAGAAATTCTGCCGGGAGGGTATCGAGGGCCTCAAAACGGGCCACGAGGTCCCCAAAAAGACCTCCCAAGACGGTCCAAATGGGCCCCGAGTCGCCGAAACATCGTCCCAAGACGCCCAGGATGGCCTCCAGACGGCCCAAGATGCCTCCCAGACGCCCCAAGAGGCTTCGAAGAGGCCTCCCAAGAGGCCCCAAGAGGCCAAAATCAATGATTTTCATGCGTTGTGTCAAAAGTTGTTGACGTTCTCGCTTTTTCTGGCTTGCAACGCTCGAAGACGGCCCAAGAGGCCCCCACGACCGCCACAAGACGGCCCAAGAGGCCCCCGAGAAGGCCCCAAGACGCCCCAAGAGGGCCACAAGACTGCCCAAAAGGGCCGCAAGAGGGGCCCAAGAAGGGCCCAAGAAGGGGACCACGAACCGAAAATTCTAGCTTTCCGCCCCAAGAGGCCCTCGGGAGGCCCCAAGAGGCCCCCAAGGGGCCCCAAGAGGCCCCCAAGAGACCCCCAAGAGGCCCAAAAGAGACTCGAAAAGGCACCAAACCAGCCCCCCAGAGGCCTCCAAACTGCCTCGGGCAGGCCCCCGAGAGGCTTCTCACGAGATCCCGCCGAACATCCAAGAGGCCTCTGAACCACAACCCAGGCATGGTGGCGGGATAGACCGAAAACCACTAGATATAAATACAAGCATAAGCCACGCAGCACCCAGAAGCCGCAACAGCGACAGTCCCCCAAGTCGGGAGCGGCCAAGAGGGGGGTGTCCAAGAGGGGAGGGTGCAAATCATGACCGGCGGCATGTGCGCGGCCCAGCGGGGGGACCAGGGACGTAATGAAATAAGAAGAGGCGCCATGAAATCTGGGGAAATATCATGGCCCCCGCCATGATATCCACCCCCCCCTAGTCATCACCCCCCTCTTTGCCGACCCCGACCAAGGGGTCGGCGGTGCGGCGTAAGCCAAAGATCAGTTATGTAGTCGATGCCCTACTCGAGAAGGCCACGTGGCCCAGGCAACTGCTCCGCACGCCCAGCCGCGTCGCTGTGCAACCTGTTGGGAACTCCTGAGGGCGCGCGCGCGGCACCCCTTTACGAGGAGGAGGAGGAGGAGGAGGAGGAGGAGGAGGAAAAGGAGGAGGAAAAGGAGGAGGAGGAGGAGGAGAAGGAGCCGCCCTTTACCGTCTGTGTGCAGCTGTCGCAGGCTCCACGGTTTGAAGACGACCCCTCCTCCGTCCGTACACTTGCCGGAACTACACGCCTCGGGGCCGCAAACGGGAAGGAAGTCTCAGGCGAAACGCCCGGCCCACCCTACGCACACGTCTGACATTCAGACGAGGAAGGAGGACAATGGAGGAAGAGGATGAGAAGGGAGCATCAGAAAGGAGGAAGAGGAGGACGAGGCCGAGGACAACGAGGGATGATAGTATATGAGGTGGGGGGGAGGAGGAGGCAGAGAAGAAGGAAGGAGGAGGGAAGAGGAAGAGGGAGGAAGAAGAGGAGAAACAGCGAGGCGGAGGACGAGGAGGAAAAAGAGAGAGGAGGAGGAGGAGGAGGAGGAGGAGGAGGAGGAGGAGGAGGAGGGAGGCGGAGGGAGTGGGGAAATCAAACGGTACCAATACCGCTCCTCCCCAGACCTGGGCCGGGGCGTGTCCTGACCGGCATTTCGAAACGAATCCAACGGTGGCGACGAAGCCCCAGGAGGCCCAAAAAGGACAAACGGGCGAAGGGTAGCGTAGCGGTATGGGTGCCTCTTCCCCCTCTGAGAGAAGGAGGAGGAAGGAGGAAGGAAGAGGCAGAGGGAGGAGGGAGGAGGAGGCAGGAGGAGGATGAGGAGGAGGAGAAGAAGGAGGAGGAGGAGGAGGAGGAGGAGGTGGAGGAGCAGGAGGAGGGGGAGGAAGGAGGGAGGAGGGAGGGGGGAGGAGGAGGAGGAGGAGGAGGAGGAGGAGGAGGAGGAGGAGGAGGAGGAGGAGGATTAGGAGAAAGAGGAGGAGGAGGGGGAGGAGGAGGAGGAGGAGGAGGCACCACCAAAGCGACCCGAGTGCGCAGAGCCACGGGAAGGAGAGAGCACGAGCGGGAAAAAGGACGAGCACGCACAACTCGACGATTAACCGAACCAGCCCGGAGAAAATCCGAGCTGGCTGAGACGAAGTCAAAACAGGCATCGTCCGAAGAGAGGAGCGGACGGGGAGAAGCCTTCCACTCGCCCGAGATGGGGTCCTTACCTACCTAGAGTTATGTTGCTCCGATCGTACTCAAGGACCACATCCAAGAAATAATTTGGAGCACCCCGAAAAGTGTCGAAAAAGTGTCGAAAGAGTGTCGAAAGAGTGTCGGGCGAGTGTCGCCCAGGTCCCGACACGTGAAAACCCTGGAGTTTCGGTACTTTTTTGGGGCGCTCGAAATTCTTTCTGGTGGCCAAGGCTAAAGTAGGCTGGGACATCATAAACCTCGAGGGACTTCAGGTACGCGGGGTCGAGACAGCACCCGCGCACCATCTCGAAATGGCGACGAACTCCCGACTGGAGGAGGAGGAGGAGGAGGAGGAGGAGGAGGAGGAGGAGGAGGAGGAGGAGGATAAGGAGGAGGAGGAGGAAGAGGAGTAGCAGGAGGAGGAGGATAAGGAGGAGGAGGAGGAGGGAGGAGGAGGAGGAGGAGGAGGTAGAGAGGAGGAGGAGGAGGAGGAGGAGGAGGAGGAGGAGGAGGAGGAGGAGGGTCTTTTGGCTGGGCGCAAAGACCTCACAAGTGGCCCCCGAGGCGGGGCCGCCGGCCGGGCCCCAGCGCGCCGCCGCAGCGGCGGGCAGGAGGCGAGGGCACCGGCAGGACGGACACGATATCCGCGCGCGCACCGCTCGGCCAAGCAGGTTGAAGGGGCCATGGGACACACAGATAAATACACACAGATAATGACTACCTACCAGACCACCCCAACCCGACCCGAAGACCCGAATTTCGGGTTGAGGGGGTAAGGGTTCCACACGTGTGTTTTCGATGTTTCCCGATCCCCCCCCCACTGGAAATCGAGGGTAAATCTGAGCCTTCGGGTTGGGTTGGGGTGGTTTGGTGGGTGGTGAGATAAAAGGACTCGCCATGTTGTCCCATATATTCTGGGTGTTTGTCTTCCCCCCCACTTCCCATGGATTCCCCACCATTTCCCCGGGAGTGCACGATTCGTTGCGTCCGTGTGTGTTCTTCCCCCCTCCGGACCACAGGGCCTCGAGCGGGGAGGGGGAACGCCCGGGAGGACGGCGGCCCTCGCGGACCAGGGCTCCCCGCGCCGCCGGCCTGCAGAGGCCCGAGCCCTCTTGGGGGGGCGGGGGCCCCCCGGAGGGCCGCCGGGAGCAGGAGAGGCGCCCGGGCCTCGGCGGGGGGGGCGGGGCCAGGAGCCGAGGCGCCTTCCGGCGCGGCCCTCCGGCGGACCAGTCCTCCACGACGCCACTCGCCACCAGGACTGGCACGAGCGGGCGGAGGCGGCGGGGGGGGGCGGGGGGCTCCTCGGAGCCCAGGGCGCGCGCGGCCCTGGCCAGCCTGCACGCCTCCTCAGGGTCCGGGTTCCCAGAGAGGCCTAAGGAGGGCCCCCGCCATCCCCCGAGAGGCCCCATAGGGCCGCCGCCCTCGGCGACCCTACAGACACCCCACCGAAGCCCCGAGGCTCCTTTGGCGGAAGCCGCAAAAGCGGCGCAATGATCACATGACAATGTGTGGCCACGGCGCCGCACAAGGCGCGGGAAAGCGGGAGGAGGAAGAGGAGGAAGAGGAAGAGGAAGAGGAGGAGGAGGAGGAGGAGGAGGAGGAGGAGGAGGAGGAGGAGGAGGAGGGAGGGAGGGAGGGAGGGAGGCTCGCTGCTCGACGACGGCTTGGCGCATGGCGCGCTCGGTACCGCTCTGTCTGTCGGGAACTGCGGCTACCGCGGCCTGAGGCCAGACCAGTGCAACAACAGAACAAGACAGGGAAACGATCAAAAAGGAAAGTCTGCCCCCTCGCACCATAGACCCTCAGGGCGGGGGACAGAAGAAAAGATCTCAGTGCGAAGCTCGCCTCCTGGTGCATTCCAGGGCGCACGTTGCGCCAACATGCGGGCCACCTTTCTGGCACGGGCGGCTTCTCTCTTAAGCCTGATGGGGTCGAGCTGAGCCTCACACAGGACGAGAGGAGGGGGGGGAGGGGAGGCAAACGAGGGAACGAGCCGAGGGCTGGAGGAGAGATGGGCAGGCGAAACGGGCGCCGCCTCCTGCTCCGGCAGGTCCAAGAAAGCCTGCTCCTCCTCCGCTCCAGCCTCCTCAGGCAGGCTGGGTGCAGGAGGCTCCTGCCCCCGCGTCGGAGGGGGGCTGGACGCGCTGCGCGTCTCCTGAACTCTGAAGCGATCTCGCCTGGGGGTCGGCCTTGCGACCCGTGCGCCTTCTGGGCGCATAAATCGGGAGCCTCCGAACAAGCTTCAGTCCCCGAGGTCAGAGACATAAACACCGAGCAGACCGCGACGGGGATCCTCTGGACCCGCACCGAAAACGAAGTCGGCCTCATCATCATCATCAGACGCCGCAGCCAAGTCTCTGCGAGCATTGGCAATGCTAGAAGCGACAGCCTCAGACAGTCCAGAAGAGCAAGTCTTCTCGGCAGCAGTCCTGAAAGAGCCGCCAGAAGCTTTGCCGAGAAGGGTCCTGTGAGCACCGGGACCATGAGAGCATCTGCCCTTGCCAAGGGTGTCCAGGAGAAAAGAAGGGAGGGCATACAGAGGCCAAGAAAACGAGTGGAAGCTCTGCCTGCAGTGTCCCAGGCGGTGTCTGCTCGGAGGTGCTCGCATTGGTCGAAATCCACCGCACAAGAATGAGGAGCACACACTAGAACGACCAGAGGGGGCCAACGGAAAGAGGCGGGAGCGCCAGCGATCCACGTGGGAGGGAGAGGGTGTTCCATCCATCCACTGGTGCCAGCCGCCATGCGAGCAGCTAAAAGGCGAGTGAGAGCGTGCAACAGCTGGGATCCAACAATTACTCCGACGGAAAGACCCCACATGAAAATCCTTTCGGCTAATCTGGAAATAACCTTCACTGTAGTCCTCGCGAATAGTGACGCGCCCTTATTTTCTTCTCTGCGTCATTCTCATTGTCGCCCTGGCGCAGGGCCCTCACCCACTCCCCACGTTGCCCTTGCCTCGCCCTCCTGCTGTCTGTTTCGTCACCCACCACCTCCTCTCCTCTCTATTGCAAGAGCGCGCGCGCGTCGATTCTCCGCTCAAATTAAACATGAAGCGCGGGCCCCCTAGAGAGGGGGCTCCCGCCTGAGATTTCCTCACAGTTCACTCACAGACGAGGCTCCCCGCCTGATACATCCTCCATATTCAAGCCTCAGGAGCCCAAAAGTGACGACAGTCACAGGTTCGAGGATGACCCGCTCGGATTGAAAACATGAAAGTGCGGGCCCCATAGGGAGAGGGCTCCCGCCTGAGACTTCCTCGCAAGTCCCTCACAGACGAGTCTCTCGCCTGATACTTCCCCCATATTCAGGCCTCAGGAGCCCAAACGTGACGACAGCTACAGATTCGAGGATGACCAGCTCGGATTAAAAACATGAAAATGCGGGCCCCATAGGAAGAGGGCTCCCGCCTGAGACTTCCTCGCAACGCACTCACAGACGAGCCTCCCGCCTGATACTTCCCCCATGCTCAGGCCTCAGGAGCCCGAAAGTGACGACAATTACAGGTTCGAGGATGACCCGCTCGGATTAAAAACATGAAGTGCAGGCCCCATAGGGAGAGGGCTCCCGCCTGAGACTTCCTCGCAAGTCACTCACAGACGAGCCTCCCGCCTGATACTTCCCCCATATTCAGGCCTCAGGAGCCCAAACGTGACGACAGCTACAGATTCGAGGATGACCAGCTCGGATTAAACACATGAAAATGCTTGGGAAGCCACCCCATTAGGAGACACCGCACATGAGCACAGTTTCACCCAAAGTTTCACCCGCAGTCGGCACTACTGCATGTATAAACCCACATCGTTTGATTCAACACTGCATGAGCTCCGGCGCACCGCCCGCTGGCGACGGCACTGCGGACGCACCCGGGGCGAAAGTGAACGCTAGCATCGAGGCAGATTTTTTCCGAGGAGGGCGGCTATCAGTTGCCGGCGCCGGTCTGCAGCTTGGGACGTGGAACGTGGAGGGTTTCACTGAGGCCAAACTTGTCGAGCTCCAGATGCATATGAAATCATATGGGATAGATTTACTTTGTCTCCAGGAGACACACAAGCCGAAATCGGAGTACACGGTCACCGAGGAGGGCTTCCTGTTGATCTTCTCGGGGGCGTCCGCCGACGACGTCAACGAGACGGCAGGCGTGGGATTTCTGATATCACCAAGATTGCGCCGAAGCGTCGTCGGCTTCCGGCAGGCATCTTCGAGAATGGCTTCTTTAAAGCTGAGAGTTGTTGGTGGCAAGATTCTTGCGTGCAGCGCTTACGCCCCCCATAGCGGGAAGCCGCCATCGGAGAGGCAGACATTCTTTCAAGAGTTGAACACGTTTCTTGGGTCATTATCCTGTCATGGGCCAGTTTTTGTATGTGGCGATTTCAACGCGAGGCTTCACGTGCGGCGCCCAGGAGAGGAAGAAGTTCTGGGCGCACACGTATTCGGCAACCCTCGTGCGCAGCATAACCTATCTTCAAATCGTTCTTTCTTGGTCGAGCTATGCACTTCTCGGGGCCTCGCTGTTGCAAACACGCTGTTCGACGAGCCGGCGGAGAGGCGGGTCACCTACTATGACATCGGTTCATCTCCGGCGGACCCCCCCACAGAGCAACATTTTGGCCAACTTGATTTCGTTCTCGTCAGCTCGGAGTGGAGAGGCTCGGTGCAACGAGTCTGGAGCGACCGCGCCGCAGCGTTGGCATCGCACCACTTCCTTGTGCAAGCCCGTGTCTTGATCGACATCCCCCGGACAGAGCCGAGGGCCGGCAAGAAGCGGAAGGACCATTCTGTTCTGCGGGACCCGAGCGCTGCGAATTCATTTGCCGAAGCCTTTTGCGAGCAGATGGGCTCCGACAACGGCGATGCTGTCGACGAGTCCGCCCAGCATTTGAATGAGCGGATGACCCAAGCATTCCTCTTCGCCGCCGACCGCGTTCTTCCTGACACGAAGCTGCTGCCCAAGAGGCCTTGGATCTCGTCGGGCACTCTTGCGCTCATCGAGAAACGCAACGCCGCTCGCGAGAGGGGGTCGCGTGAGGAAGAATGCGAGCTCGCCAGGCAAGTCCGGGCATCTGTGAAATCAGATAAGTCGCAATGGTTGGAAAGCAGCCTCGCCAAAGGGGAGTGGGCGCCGATCCGGCAGCTTCGGAAAGGCGCCGCCTCGAAGCAAGGCCGGCTTGCAAACTCGAGCGGAGAAATCGTGGACTCGGACCAGCGCGCCGACACTCTGGCACAATATCTCGCCCAGGTTCAGTGGGCTGTCCGGCCGACGACAGTCGCCGAATTCACAGACAGCTTGGGTCCCACCTTACCTGTGTCGTGCGATCCCATCACCGAAGGCGAGGTGTTGGCAGCGGCTGCCAAGCTGAAGAGGGGAAAGGCAGCCGGCGCTGACGGAGTTCCAGGCGAGTTCTGGAAATCGATTTGCACTCCAGGGACCCCTGCCTGCAGGTGGGCGGTGTCTTTGTGCAGAAAGTGCTGGGAAGAACGCGTGGTCCCTGACGCTTGGCACAAGGCGCTGGTCACGGCTATCTTCAAAAAGGGCGACGTTGCAAACTGTGAAAACTATCGGCCGATTAGCTTGATTTCAATTGGGTATAAGATGTTCGCTACAATTCTTTTGAACCGTCTGAAAGCAGGCGGTGCTGAACAAAGAGTCTGGAGTACCCAGTTCGGTTTCAAGAGCAAGCACGGGACAGCGGACGCGATATTTCTCGTTCGTCGTTTACTTGAACGTACGTGGGCAGAAAAAGCGGGCGCTTAGTCTTGCTGGCTTTGGACTGGGCGAAGGCATTTGACAGTGTTTCGCCCGAGTCGTTATGCCTCTCACTGGAGCGGTTCGGCGTTCCCACCCACTTCATACAAGTCGTGCGTGCCATCTATACAGATCGTACTTTCGCTGTCCGTGACGCCGGAAAAACATCCGAAGAGCATCCGCAAGCGTTCGGCATCAGTCAGGGTTGTCCGCTCTCTCCGTTCTTATTCGCAATATTGATGACCACCTTGTTGCGCGATGCAGAAAGAGAGGCAGACCCCTATCTGAATAAGAGCATGCATGTGCACGAACTTGTTTACGCAGACGACACACTTTTGCTAGCCACCTCCGGAGAATCAGCCGGGGCGTACATGCATGCCGTACAACATATGGGGCAACAGTACGGTTTACAGTTTAATTGGCGCAAGCTAGAAGCCTTGGCTGTAGGTACCGACGTATACATTCTCAAGCCGGACGGCACCCCGATCCCACAGAAGGGAAGCATAGTTTATTTAGGTAGTCTGATTAGCGACGACGGCAAGATAGGGTCAGAGTTGTCGCGCCGCCTAGGAGCTGCAGGTGCAGACTTTGACAAATTGGCTAGGGTATGGAGCCATTCGACTCTCACGCGGCAGAAGAAGATTCACATTTTTGAGTCTTGCGTTTTAAGTAAGCTGTTGTACTGCCTGCACACTTCGTATCTTAATAAGCAGGAAATGCGCCGTTTGGACGCATTCCAAGCGCGATGTTTGCGCAAGCTGTTGCGCATTCCCCATTCATACGTCAGCAGAGTCTCGAACGAAATCGTGCTTCAACGGGCCAACGTCCGCCCTCTTAGCAACACGCTCCTCCGTAGACAGCTTCATTTTCTTGGTCACATCGCCAGAAAGCCAGGTGACGACGCTGTGCGTTGCGCAGTGCTCCAGCCCTTTTCCTCCCTCCTCCTCCCCCCTCCCACCCAGAGAAAGAGAGGGCGCCCACGAGCAACGTGGTCCCGGGAAGTTTACAGGCACGCCTGCGAAGCAGCTGGGGGTATGGAGGCCCTTCCGGCGCTGTGGCAGGACACCATTTCTTCGGCCACGGCGTGGCGTGTCGCAGTCAGCAAGTACTGCGATACCACGTGATAGTGGCTATGTGCTCATGTGCGTTTCGTACTCAGCATTTTGCTTGCTTGCTTCATAGGGAGAGGGCTCCCGCCTGAGACTTCCTCGCAACGCACTCACAGACGAGCCTCCCGCCTGATACTTCCCCCATTTTCAATCTAGCGAATGAGTGGGTGAGTGAGTGAGTGAATAACTGAATGAGTGATGATGATGATGATGATGAGGATGATGATGATGA